CAGCCTTCTCTTAAACACCCACAAGGTAGGGGAGGGCACTACCTCCCTTGGAGGGTCAAGACCTGAGCAGGGAACTCCTTTTTCCTTCTGTGAATAAGTAAATACATTTATTAAAAGCCTTCAGTACCATACCTGAAGATACAAACATGCCCAATAAAGTAAAAGCCAAAAAGATCAGTAGGATTTCACTGAGCCTTGGGCTTCCTACCACTTGGTCAGCTGAGTCTACTGACATTCATCTAGCAATTTTTTCTATGAAAGGAATGCTCAGAGTAGATTAAATTTTCTGCACTATTAACTCCACTGCTGAAAATAAAATTGGGGAAATTTCTGCTTAATTTACTAACAGAGATGGAAAAAAAATCCAACAAGCAATAACAAATCAACAAATGAACAATAGCATGACTGAGCAACAGAAATAATGGCTACAATCTATTGACTCGAATACTTAGAAAATCTGTGAGGGTTGTTAACCTAAAAATCCTATCTATCTCCTTGAAAATGCCTACTAGGCACCTATGAAGAAAGCCCATAAATACCTCACTGAAAAGAGAGAAACATCAGAATCCTAACTCTTTTCTAATTGGAGAGGGCAAAATGGCAACCTGTTTGCTTCAATTAGGATATAAAGAAACAAATTCAACTGGCAGAAAGATGCAAGTCCAACCACACAAACTAAAAGAAGGGAGTTTACTGCTCTGAGAAGAAAGGACCCTGTGGAAAAAGAAAAAGGAAAGCTTTAATTTTTCTGTGGCAAATCTTAAAAATTCTTTTTGATAGGAAAGTCTGGGTATTTTACCCCTATAAGACATCAGTTCCCGAGTATTAAATATCAAGCAAAAACCTATTCAAGGCAAAAAAAAGGACTTGCTGCATAATTATAACATTACATTGTTAGCTCTGTTGACAAGTTCCCTTTTTTCCTTCCTTATCTGGAAAGACCTTTCAGTATGGCATCTATAAATGCAAAGTGCCCCACCCCACCATAATGTAGCCTTGTTCAGTACTATTGTATGTTTTTATAAATACTTTATATTGTATCAATTAAAAGTTCATAAGTTCTAGTAGTGAGAAACTAGATTACCATCCTTTGCTACAGCAGTTTGCTCCTTACTCAAGTATTTTCCCTTCTGCCAATTAAGAGGGCACCGACTCATACCAGTATTTTTCTTTTGAAATGCTCTTTCTTTAGTAAAAGTGTTAGTTACTTTATGTAAGACTGCATTAGCTGGAATTAGTCTTCTTTTCCTTGGATTATGCAGAATTTCTTTCATTTCTTTATTAAGAATGAGTTCAAAAGGTGTGGATTTTATATAATAAATATGACTCCTAAATTTCCTGCACTGTCTGTATAATATTTACTATATTTCTGGATACCTACCCACTCTAGGAACTAGGACTATACTATGTTTTCACTCAAAAGACATACTTATTAAAAATTATTAAATGATACATCTTACATCTGTTCCTCTGACAAACAAGTTATTGAAGTCTCTAAAAAGGAGTTGCACTATCCAGTGTGATATTTAGTGTATGTACAGTTGAGTACAATTAAATGCTTATCTACCTTTTCTTACTTGTTTTTGTCCTTATGCTTTAAATTATTTTAAAACTGTAATTCAGTTGTAATGTCCCTTGCTATATGTGCATAAGGAAAACCTTATCTCAAAAGTTAACCACTTTTTGTCTCTCAATTTCCTGATTTAAGAAAAAAAAAACCTAGGATGGTGTTCAGCTCCAGGTGCATCACAGTGTCTTTAGTATCATCTGTTTCCTGCAGTACAAATCTTGGGAGCTCCAAAACCTCTCTAGCACAGATCTGCAAAGAGCTTCCCTTTCCTGGCATTGGTACCTCTGAGGTATAATTTGGTCTACTGCAAGGAGCACAGTCGCTTTGCTTTTCTTTGTGGAATAGACATAGTCCTTTTTCTAGGATTTCTGACATTCATTAACTGACTCCTCTCTCACTGCAGTGGCAGGACACTATTTCCTGTGGATGTTGAAGCTTGTTCTTGATGTTTCTCATTTTGTGCCTTGTAGCTCTGTGTGAGCATGCGGAGTGGATGACTAATGGGAATCCTTGGGTAAATGGTTGCCTTTGAATGTAATGGACCAGATTTGATGGCCTGGGAGGCTCCTTCCTTTCCTATATTCATGGGAATCCTTTTACAATCAAATTAAAAGGGGATGGTGGCAGTGAAGTGATTTTATGCATCTGATGGAGACTCCCTGTATTCTCTTCTACAGTCTCTGCCAGATGCGACTTCGTAGTCCAGGATTCCCAAAAATAGTTTCTTCTAAAGGGCATTTCTCTTTTTACTTTGCCAAAAATCAGATTTTCATCAAGTATTTAAAAACAGTCCCAAGGGAAGATATTGCCTGTTTCTCCACATTAATACAGACTTATTTCAAATTGCACTTATTGAATTCTATCCTTATTATGCAGTTTTAATACTTTGCTCTGGTGATTATAATGGGAAGATAATTAGGTCCCCTCTCATCCTCCAGGGAAAGGAGACATCATAATTTGCAATAGTATCCTCTGTCTCTCATGTGTTCTGTAAAAGATTACTGCAGAAAACAGGAGGGCAGAGAATGAATGAAAGAGAAGAAGCAGAGCAGGAGCTGGTGAAGACAAACCTGTGAAAGAGTCATTTGGGAGAATCATTAACATATGAGGGAGGGCCATGTGTGGCAAGTATTTTGACAATAATGGTGAGAGATACTAAGATGGTTTATGTGATTATGATTACATCAG